TTCTAAAACTATTCCAAAAAACTGAAGAGGAGGAGAAGCTCCCAAACTCATTTTATAAGGCCACCATTACCCTGGTGCCAAAACCAGGCAAAGACACTTCCCCCACCGCCCCCCCACACACACACACAAAAAAAAAAAGGAAACTATACTATAGGCCATGAACACAGATGTAAAAATCCTCAACAAAATATTAGTAAACCGAATTCAGCAATACATTGAAGAGGTCATATATTATGGTCAAGTGGGATTTATTCCTGGGATGCAAGGCTGGTTCAATATACACAAATTAATTAATGTGACACACCACAGAAACAAAATGAAAAAAAAATCATACGATTGCATCAGATAGATGCAGAAAAAGCATTGGACAAAATCCAACATCCATTTATGATAAATACTCTTAGCAAAGTGAGGATAGAGGGAACATACTTCAACATCATAAAGGCCATATATGACAAACCCACAACTAACATCATACTCCATGGAGAAAGCTAAAAGCTTTTTCTCTAAGATCAGAAACAAGACAAGAACATCCACTTTCATCAGTTTCATTTAACACAGCATTGGAAGTCCTAGCCACAACAATCAGACAAGAAAAAGAAATAAAAGGCATCTGAATTGGAAAGGAAGAAGTAAAAGTGTCTTTTATTTGCAGATGACATACTATACATATAGAGAACCCTAAAAAGTCCACCCAAAAGCTATTAGAATAAATGAACTCAGTAAATAGCAGGATACAAAATTAATAACGAGAAATTGGCTGCATTTTTAATATATCAATAACAAACTATCAGAAAGAGAAATTAAGAAAACAATCCCATTTACAATTGCATCAACAAGAATGAAATACCTAGGAATAACTTCAACCAAGGAGGCAAAAGACCTGTACCCAAAAACTATAAGACATTGAAGCAAGCAACTGAAGAAAGGCTATATATACTGTACTTGTGGACAGGAAGCATTAGCATTGTTAAAATGCCCATGCTATCTAAAGCAATCTACGGATTTTAATGCAATCTCTATAAAACTATCAGCAGCATTTTCACATAACTAGAACAAATAATCCTAAAATTTATATGGAACCATAAAAGACCCTGAATAGCCAAAGCCATCTTGAGAAAGAAGAGCAAAATTAGAGGTATCACACTAATATCAAACTATACCACAAGGTTATAGTAATTAAAACAGCATGATACTAGCATCAAAAGAGACACACAGATCAATGGAGCAGAATAGAGTACCCAGAAATAAGCCCATGCCTGTTAGGATGAACTACCCCTAATCTCTCCTACTTGGACATGTTTTCTGAAATATGTATTATTATAAGCCTTTCCCCATAGCTTGGGGCAGATGGCTGGTGCCTGCAGAAGCAAGATAAGAAGTCCTCTCCCTCCTACTGACCTGTGCACTCTCCTCCCTTGACCAACTCTTGCCCTCCCCACTGCTTGACCAACTTGTGCACCCACATCCTGACCCTATTTTTGCATACTTCTACCATACATAAGAGAACATAACCACCCCCTTAGGGCTGACACTGACACACTGGTCTCAGCCAGCTGTGAGAGAACGTAATAAAATTTCTTAAACCCTCGCAACATCTTTGGCCCGGCTCCTTTCAGTGCGGACCAAACAATGCCTGTGTTGTCAATTAACCTCTGACAAAGGAGGAAAGAATATACGGTTGGGTAAAGACAATCTCTTCAATAAACAGTGTTAGGAAAACTGGACAGACACATGCAAAAGAATGAAACTGGACCACCATATACAATAATAAACAAAAAATGGAGTAAATACTTAAAAGTAAGATCTGAAATCATAAAACTCCTAAAAAGAAAACATAGGCAATAAACTCTCTGACATTGCTCTTGGTAATAATACCTTTTTGGATGTCTCTTCTTGGGCAAGGGAAACAGCAACAACAGCAAAACCAGACACGTCAAACTAAAAAGTTTTTGCACAGTGAAGGAAACCATCAAAAGTAAAAGCAAAAAGACAACCTTCTGAATGGAAGAAGATATTTGCCAATGATACATTCAATAATATCCAAAATATATAAGCAACTCATATAACAACACCAAGAAAATAAACCGATAAAAAATGGGCAGAGGACCTGAGTAGACATTTCTCCAAAGAGGACATACAGATGGCCAACAGACATGAAAGTATATTCAACATCAGGGAAATGCAAATTAAAACCACATTGATGCCCAAACCGGTTTGGCTCAGTGAATAGAGCGTCGGCCTGCGGACTGAGTGGTCCCAGGTTCGATTCCGGTCAAGGGCATGTGCCTGGCAGCTGATCGATGTTTCTCTCTCATTGATGTTTCTGACTCTCTATCTCTCTCCCTTCCTCTCTGTAAAAGGTCAATAAAATATATTAAAAAACAAAGAAACAAAAACCACACAGAGGTATCACCTCACACCTGTCAGAATGGCTATCATCAATAAATCAACAAATAAGTGTTGGCGAGGATGTGGAGAAAAGGGAACTCATGCACTGTTGGTGGGGTTGTAAACTGGTGCAGCCATATGTAAAACAGTATGGAGGTTCCTAAAGAAATGAAATAAATCAAACAGGGAACAGAAAATACCATATGATTTCCCTTATATGTGGAATCTAAAAAGCAAAATAAAACAAAAACAACTCATAGATACAGAGAAAAAATCGACAGTTACAGGATGGGAGGGGGGATTGACAGGATATGTTGTAAGTTATACACATGTCGAATCATTATGTTGTCCACCTAAAACTAACAGAATATGCTATATCAACTGTAATTTTAAAAAATGTTCATAGGTGGCCCACATAATAAATTCTATTTATAAACTTAAAGGATTCACGGATCTCTTGAGGCTTGGGGGGGGGGGTCCCTAGGAAAGAGGATAAAAAATGGGCTTAGTTTTTCTATTGTCTCTGGCCCCTTCTCCTCAGATGTCCCCTCCCAAGCCCATAACGCAAAGCTGTCAACACAAAATCAAGCGCCATGTAGTATAAGAGGAAGTGGGTGGGAGAATGCTCACTTACTCGGAAGGGCAGGGTGCAGGGGTAATTCTTGGAGCTGTTGTGGTGTGGATTCCTTTGTCAATGAGAGAACATGAAGGGGGTTAATGTATCTGCCACTGATCCTCACCTAGGCTGACATGCCCCCAGGTGCCCCGCCCTACCCAAGTAACCCGTGGAGATTAATGACAGGGGCTACAACTCCGCAAATGGAGAGAACTTCCTGCCTTAGGTCCTGAGTACTTTAACATGGAAATTAGAATCAGAACTTAAAAAACCATCAGCTACACAAATGAAAGAAAAGCCCAGCGTATGTCCCTTAGATAAACCCATAGCTCCCTTTATAAACAAAAACACCGTCTGTGTTTCCCAGATTTAAGCAGAGAATCCCAGAACTAGTGTTTCCCAAGGTCCTTGGGAATCTGACCTTGGCACCCACTGCCTTTTGTTTTTTTCGTTTGTTTGCAGTGAAGCCAAAGGCAGCCACGGGGAGTTTTCCCAATCCCTACACCACAAATAGGGGTGGGTAGTGAGGGAAGTCAACTAGATTCCCACAAACTACCCAGCTGGTCTAATCCCAAGCAGAGAGACACCCTGTACTCAAATCCAGAGGATCAGACAGTTCTCTCCGGTTCCCCGTCTCACTCTCCCGGTATGACTGCATCATGGTGAATTCTGATCCTTCCAACCTCAGAAACGTTGTCCCATTACAGCCCTCCAAGCGCACCTTCCAATTATTCCAGTTCACTTAACCAGGCAGTGAGGCAGGTAACGGTTTCTGTCCTGAACTTACCAGTGTTGGGATCGTTTTTGGATTGATTTCCTCCCATTCTGTCTTCCCCCGAAATGAAGAAGGAACCTCTGAGAGAGCCTGGAAAGGAGAGGCAGTGGACGGGTCAACCGGGACCTCGACATAGGAGCAGTATCAAGGAGAGGCAGGTCGTGACGAGTGTTCTAGTGAGGTCAGTGGTCACAGACTTTATGTGGTGTGGTTGCCACAGCTCTGCAGTCCGTCCTCAGCTTTGCAGGTCCAGGAATTTGATCATATCAGGGCACCTAGAATTGACTGGTTACACAAGAACTTCCACCAACCAAATCAGAGGAGACTGACGTATAAACTGAAATAAGGAGCATGTTGGTATAACGAGCAGCACTGTATCAGAACACGTAAAAAAGCCAATAAAAACCATAATTTTGCTTGGTAAGCATTGAATTGAAGTAGGACGGGAGATGAAAGGATATTTTGAACTGAGTATCATCTAGGTCTGATGCATCTGCCTTCCTCTCCCATGGCAGTATTGAGTGAACTTTTACAAATTTTTGTTGCTGGAGGTCCTTCCTCTAGGTTCTATCAGACACTTCTGTTCACATATTGTCCTTTCGAGTGAAAACATTCTCACCTAGGCTATGGTTCTATTTGTTATATATCAAGCTTTCTTTATTTTCCCTCTACTTTTTATGTATTTGTACCAAAAAGTATAAAGCACCAAAAAGCAGAAGTCATCTAAACTCTTACTACCCATAGTTTAATATTTTAGGGTATTTCCTTTGTTTTGTATTTCCATAAATTCTAAATATAGTTTTTCACTTTTTTCCAGTTTTATTGAGATATAATTGAAATATCATTGTATTAGTTTAAGGTATACCAATTAATGATTTGATATACATATATATTACAAAATGATTACAATGAGTTTAGTTAACATCCATCATCTCACAGTTACACTTTTATGATAAAAATGTTTAAGATCTACTCTCTTAGCAATTTTAAAATGTGCAATACAGTATTATTAACTACTAGAGGTCTGGTGCACAAGGTTTGTGTACTTGGGGCAGGGGCGAAGGGTTGGTCCCTCAGCCTGGTCTATGCCCCCTCACAGTCCAGGAGCCCTTGGGGGGATATCCGACTGAGGGCTTTGGCCCGCTCCCTGGACATCCTTAGCACTGCCATGGAGGCAGGAGAGGCTCCTGCCACCACTGCTGCGCTCACCAGCCGTAAGCCTGGCTCCTGCATTGTGTCTGCCCACTAGTGGTCAGTGTGCATCATAGCAACTGGTTGTTCCACCATTTGGTCAATTTGCATATTAGCCTTTTATTATTTAAGATAATCACCATGCTGTTCCCAGATCTTATTTATCTTATAACTGGAAGTCTGTACCTTTGACCATCTTCACCAGTTTTCCCCACACCCGCTTCTGTCTCTGGCATCTGTTCTCTGTGTCTGAGTTTGATTTTTAAAGTTCCCACTATAAGTGAGATCAGAGTGTTTGCCATGTATGTTTTAAAAGGCTAGTTGAGATATTTCTTCATATATCCTTTAAAAAAACACCCACAAACTAAGCTTTTTATCATAGACATTCTCCCATGCCACTACAAACTTTCTCTAAGTATTTTTCATTGTGATAGATCTTTCTGTTAGAGCTGTGTATTATAGCTTGTTTAACCAGTTCCCTACTTATTATTTACATGTTATTATTTTCTAATAAAACAGTTCTAGGAGGCCACAATTTTATTTCATATTTAAGTAAACCCATGCTAAGTATTTTTGGCTTTGGTATATCTATTGTGTTTTAAGGTAATTTAGACAACAAATGCCACTAGTTATTTGTTCAGCTCTCAAAAGTGCATCGATTTCCAAGGTCTGGGGCATGGGGGAGGGTTGGAAGCAGGACCTCACTGCCAGGGACGAGTAGCAACAGCAACATTCTACCAAGTACCTTACAATCCGACCAGATGTTTTTAGATCGTGCATGTAGAACAGTGAGAAAGGCCACAGGGAAACTGGGTGAGAGAACTTGGAGCTGGGAGAACCGGACGCTTTCCACAAACAGCAGAATCAGCAGTAGAAACTACCTTCCTAGCATTTTTTTGTTCCTGTTTTCATTAAAGGTCAATGATGTTCTTTGTCAAGCACGATAAAATTTAGATAGCATTTTAAATATGTTGAAATACATGTTTATGCTAAGTAAACAGAGTATGAACTAATCCTATGAACTTATATTAGACCTTACCCTGGGAAAGGAAGAGAAGAGCATGGCAAGTTTCTATACAATCTTAACCTTTACATCAGTGGTTCTGAATCTGCAACTGCCCCAAAGAAATGTTACCATAGCCACCTGGACAAAAAGATGGGCCATCCGACCCTGAAAGACCAAACATCACACAAAACCACAGAGCCACAGCCACTTACAGATCCAGGTTGAGAAAAGAAACAAACACATGTCCCTTTAAAAACACTCACATACTCACAGAAGCATGAATGAAAATAGAAACGATGCCATACATACCTTTTCACATTTTGTCAGGCACCAGAATCTTCCAGATTGCCATTAAATTAACCAACTCAATGCAGACATTCAAATATAACCCTTCCCCCACCAAATAAAGTTGGAAAGAAAAAGAAATGATAGAAACCATTAACAATGAGAGGACATTTTTCTTTGGTGAGCAATTATTCTGTATAAAATAAAAATTTGGGATAAACGCATTTACCTTGAAAGGAAAAGTCCAGTCACGAAATGCCCCGTCTAAAACTGAACTTTTGCTTCCGTGGCTACTCCTATTTTTTCAGAAATGACGAAATAATGACTGCCACTGTCAAGCTTGGTCTTGCAAATCAACTAAACCTGAGGACAGACTTCCTCTTTGAGGCCAACACTGTATTTTTTATCCCATAAGCAGAAAACTACTTTTGTATCTTTGGACACTTGAATGTCAGAGCACAAGGGATAAGACAAGTTTATTTCTAATTAAGGACACATGGAGCAACCACATGGCGGATACTATGGGGGGGTCACAGCAGTATGACATGACCACTGTCAGCAAGCATCTCACTGTGTCATTTATTCTAACCAATAAAAGAAACTGAGCTATCATGTTAGAGTTAAGTACCCCCTGTGCAGACTGTGTTAAGAGTATGGAGAGCCCTTCAAAGACAAGGCAAATCATTTATAAACATCCATTCATAAAACAGCATCAATAAATATACTCAGAGGAGAAACCAAGATGGCAGCATAGGTAAACACCGGAGATTGCTGCCTCGCACAACCACTTCAAAAATACAACTAAAAGACGGAACGGACATCATCCAGAACCACAGGAAGGCTGGCTGAGTGGAAATTCTACAACTAGAAGGAAAGAGAAAAGCATACCGAGACTCAGAGGAGGTGTGGTGCAGAAGTAAAATACAAAGGTGTGAAGGTGCATGCAGAGAGGGCTGGCGGCTGAGGTCACGATTGTCTTTTTCAATTGGGAGGGAGTCTCAGGCTCTGAGCTCCAGTTCCGGGGGAGTCTCTGGGGACCCAGGCTCATACGGGACTGTCTGGCATCGGTAGGAACTCGAGGGCAGCTTTCTCTAGGAGGCACAAGCAGCGATTGCCGGGGCCTCTGAGGACAGGACTGAGAGTAGCCATACTGCTTGCTCCGCCCGCCCAGTTGATCCCCTGGGGCTCTGCCTCGCCCAAGCCGTACATGGAGGCTTTTGCATATGAAAGGCCCGGCCCTTTGTAATCTGAAAATTACTTAACAAACTGTAGCTGCCCAAGGCCCCAGGGCAACTTGCATTGCTTTACAGCTGGCT